ACGTCATCAACGCCGTGCTGTCGAAGTGAAGGTTGTGAGCCTCGCGGGAGCGCACGTTTCCTCTGGAGGGACATGCGCCGCTCTCGCTGAGGGCGGGGCCCGTCATTGGATTCATTCAGCTGTCTCACGCTTATGCCGCCGTGAGCTGCCGATCGCTGAGACGCGATGGATGACGGCCACTCGCGTTCATTCAGGAGAGGCGTGTGTTGTTTTCGCTGAGAGCGGGGACCTCCACCGGACCCGGCCTGCGGTACCACATTTATCCCGATGTGGGCCGGTGAGCGCCGGGCAGCTGTGCGTGCATCATCGACACAGCGCCGTTTGGATGGAGGCTGCTTGTCTCGCTCGGGTGCGCGTTAACACCGTTGGGTGGTGATCGTGCGGGTCTGATTGACAACAAGTTATTTCGCTTACCGTGGTGTCACGTGAGCGTCTGGGCATGTGAAGGAGCGGCGGTGGATTTTAAAAAACCTTTATTTAAGGACACCGGCTCTTTTATGAGTGGAGGATGTGTGTGTAGCGGCTGTGAGCTCATCCGAGCTTACAGACTGGCTAAAAACAGGCATTTTGATCTTTGAAAATCATTTATTCAATTCCTGTGTCATTTATACACACATCCTCCGCAGACCGTCATTTCTTAAAACTTCTTCCCCGTGAGCCCTGCGGTTTGTTTGCTCCGAGCGCCGTCTGCAGGCGATCTCTGGGGAAAACACTGAAGTGCAGGCTGCCGGACTGAGGAGGGGTGGTCTCTGGCGGGCGGGGCTGGTGGTGGAGCTGGGCTAGACGAAGCTGCTGCTGCCGTGGAGCGTCGATGTTTCTGCCTCTGCTCTCGACGATCCCTCCAGCGGGCTGGGGGACGGGATGAGCCGCGCGGCTTGATGAGATGGCGTACAGCTTCCGACGTCTCCTCCGACTGCTTCGAATTCGCCAGCATGGACGTCAAGCTGCTTCCGAACAGCGCGTCCGATGAGATGGGGCCCTCCATCAGGTCTTTGTGCAGCTTTTCCGGCAGCAATGGAGAGTGACGGAGCCAGATGGAACGTTGGATTACCGTCATCCACGCTGCAAATCCTCGACAGGCAACCCGTGGAAGCGGCGCACATGTTGAGGATGGCGTCTGCCGATTACACAGGGAGCTCTTTGTCTCCTCCGGCAGGTCTGAGGCCTCCAGCCTTTTCGACATGCTAACTGCTAGCAGCGCACGTAGTTGCTAACTGCTGCTGCCTGAAAAACACGTCGGTGGGCTCGATTGGAGAGCTTTAGTCGCCGTCTGGTTCCTCCGGAGGGACGGGACGCTGCTCCGACCTGGGCAGCTTCGCTCCGGAAGCTTCCGCGAGGCTTGGCTCCAGGGGGGGGGGACCGAGGAATAGCGTCAGTTGCCTTACAGAGGGAGTTCTTGTCTCCAAGGCAGGTCTGCGGCCTTCAGTCCCTTGGACATGCTATATGCTAGCAGCGCACGTTGTTGCTAACTGCGGCTGCCTGGAAACACGTCGGTGAAAAACAACCTTTCCGCCGATCATCCGAACTGGCGGGAAAAGGCGAGGGACGTAGAAAAAAGGGGTCCCTTCATGTCAGCCTCCTCCCGGGTTCCGCCGGGCAACCCCTGAGGGCGCTGTCGGCCGGGAGCGGTGTGATCGCCGATGCGAAACGAGGTGGGATGGGGTGAGCATTCACTCAGCCCCCCTCCACCCACACTACGCTCCCCAGGAGGGAATGAGCAGCGGGGGCTGCAGCTGAGCACACCTTGCCCCGGGGGGACCATCCGGTTCGCCCCGAGGGTCGGCGATAAGAGGAAAAAACACAAGATGGCGTTGTCCAGCGTGTAGTGACCTGTCACTGGGAAATGTTCCCCGACGCTTACCTTGGAATAAGACTGCTGTCATCTTCTCCTCGGGGAGGAGAACTCACCGGACGACCGGAGGTCGACTGCCGGGCCAAGCATCCTTCACAAAGGTTGGTCATTTACACAATTTATCTTCTTTGTTCTTCTGACAGTGCTATATTAGCTCGCTGAAGAAAAAATGGGAGCCGATTTCCCGCTCTTAACGTAATTTATACGGACCGGGTGGGGCCCACACAGCAGGTGGGCGTGGACTAATTTTTTCAGTGCTTATGCTCTGCATAACGGGATAAACCCATCAGCGACAGCCTTAAAGGGCGAAGCCTATATGAAATAGAACTTTATTCACTTTTAAATAGAGAACAAAATAGCACGTTCATATAGGTAGCCTACACAAAAACCAGCAGCAAGCTAGCTTGGTTTAGCACAATAAAGATATTATAAACCAGGATAATATTTAATATATTAAAAACTTTAACTCACTGATTAATTAGTTAAATGAATCAAAATGTGCTTGATGTTATTTATTAATGTGAATATGTATAAAATTAAACTACATAAAAATAAAAAATGTACTTTTTTTAATGACAACATTGATTTGACACACTTTGGTGTTTGACTGTTAGTAATTAAAAACAAGTAATATTTTAGCATAAATTTTTATTGTAAATGACTCATTCTGTCCTGTTTTAATCTCTTAGGAACAGGTCTTTGGTCTTACCATGGGACCAGGTGGTCCTGTCTGACCCGGTGGTCCATTTAGACCCTGCTCACCCTGTCAAAAAGACATAAAGAAAAACTGAAGCACAGTAGACTTTTTTCTTTTTACCCATTGGATTCTATAAGTGGTCTTACGGCAGGGCCAGGGATTCCTCTCAAGCCCTGGGGACCTGGTTTCCCAGGATGCCCTTGAGCACCCACGGGCCCTGTTTTTCCAACAGGTCCCTCCAGTCCAGGAGCGCCCTGAAGTGACACAAAGATTGGACACCCTCTGAGACGGTTCCCATTCCAAAGGTAAAATTCAGAAACACTGATCTCTAACTCTCACCTTTGTTCCCTTCAAACCTGCTTTCCCCTCCTTCCCTTGTTTCCCCATGTGGCCCTAAAGGGACAGAAAAAAGGATGAAATTGTTAACTAATAAAACAAGAAATAAAAATAATACACACATGCTCTAACACATTAATGAATACCAACCCTTCGCCCAGGCGGTCCAGGTGGTCCAGGTTCTCCGGATGGTCCTGGTGGTCCCTGAGAACAAACCAGGTCAGATTATCCATCCTGCCATGTTCTTAAATAAAAAAGCTGCTGAGAATGGTAAAGTAATGTATAAAGCGAGGCTCACAGATTTTCCAGGATCTCCTGTGTCTCCTTTAGACCCCGGGAGGCCATCTACACCCTAATGAGGTAAGAAAAACTGTGGGCAGGAAAGAACTTCACAACACATCGCATCTGTCTTATGGACAATCACAGCAGCAAAACTACAACTGATCAAGATGATGCATGTTTCTGTACAACTTACAGTGCCCAAAATAAACCACGGCAGAAGACGGTTAGCATCCCATTTGTTAAGGAAAATGAATGGCGTGCTGGGATTTTTATCTTCACTTTGGATATAGTGTCACTGAACTATTTTTCTTTTTTCTCATAATTGATCCATAAAAATTATTTATCATTTTATTTTACACTGAAAATAGGCAGCAGGTCCCTGCAACCCTGGACATGATTAAGGGGCTCCAGAAAATAAATGGATTTCAGTTTGATGCCTTTGTGTTAGGGATGCACGATATTATCTGCATGGTATTGGTATCGGCCAATATTAGCGTTAAAGTTCAATATTGGACATCGGCCATTCCTTTAAAATAACTCACCAATATAAAAGGCGCTGATTTTCTATGACAACCCAGTGACAAGGATGCCTGCAGCAGCAGCACAGCGTGATGACGTCACGCGTGCCTAGCTGATCTGATCATGGTGAATAGGAAGAAGTGAAAATGTCGGCAATGTGTATGTTTTTTTTTTGTTGAGGATGTCGAATTCAGAAATTTTTTTGGATTACTTTGAGCCTCGCTACATCGTCTCCAGTCAGAGATATTTTTCCGACGTAACGTTACCCGAGTTACAAACCATTATTTCGGACGTCATTGAGAAGCTAATAGCCGATAGCACTTGGGTGAGTTTTACCACAGACATGTAGACGTTGTGTTAGCCCCGTTAGCATGATTAGTCTTACGACACAAAGGATAAACAAAAACTTTGAACTTAAAAAGTCTGTCCTTCATGCACAGGAGTGCAGAGGATCCCTCACTGCAGCTATAGGAACCTGGAACAAGCCTCCACAAGTGAGACAGCATTGCAGGTGACTAATGCTAATAAATAATATTTAACACTTTTCATTTAATATAAGTCAAAGTACTATGTATATCATATGGCTGTTACTGAATGTCACCAGCTCTTGCAGCTGTTACACAATTTTTGTAGCAAATAAACATAAATAAGAGGGCTATGTTCTGACAAAGGAAAGTATATAAAATATCGGTATCGGTTGTCGACCAAATAAGTTTTAACATGTCGGTGTATCGGATATTGGCCAAAAATCCATTCCATTGTGCATCCCTACTTTGTGTGTTACAGCAAAATATTTCTGCAAACACCCTGGAAGTCAGAACAAAACCACTAAATGCCTTTAAAATAAATAAGTATTTTCCTCAGTTGTGTCTTTTAATGCCCAGTGTTGCATTTTACCAGTTCAAGGAACTGAACCGGTTCCTTCACATGAAAAATGCATTGATTTTTGCTTTTTTTGTCTGTCCACTTCTCTAAGTATTTAACATTTAGCTCAGTTGTGCAATCTTGCAAACAAACAGGCAATAAAACAGAACACGGACAGAGGTACTTTACAGCAGAGTAGAAGAAGACAAAGAAAAAAGAAGGAAACTAGACGCAGGCACTCACATTGGGTCCAGCCTCTCCCTGCTGTCCGAGATCACCCGTCAGACCTATAGGACCCTGTAGAAAGAAGAAGCTTGAGCTGGAGTTGCATCAAACAGCACACTTTGCTCCAATATAAAGTACTGCTGAGGCTCAGAAAACAGATTGACTGGCAAAATAGCTTTTCCTTTGGTGCCCTATAAAACAAATCATTCAGAATTGTTCAGCACGCCTAAAACAAAATCTCTGGTAGCACATGCCACCATGAGATTGATTATTTAAAAAAAACTCTAAATAAAATGTTTTCTCATCTTTTTTCTTCATTTTACATTGTTGGTGGTCCATAGTTTGTACAGCTACTGGCAAAAGTTATGGAATCCCCAATCATAGAGGATGTTCTTTCAATTGTTTAATTTTGCATACAAAAATTTTAAATAATATACAGATATGCCATAAAACTATCATATTTTTAAATGCCAGCCTTCTGGCATTAAGAAATATGGAGTTATTTAATATATATAGTTAATCCATTTAGATTAGACTATAGTCTAAACTAAATGGTGTTGTAATCAAATGCAAGTCACTCAGAAATTTAAGCTGAGCATGAGCATTGTATATGATTTAAAGTACAGTATATACACTGTGTTGCCTGTAAAAGATCGATAGATTAATTAAAATCTATTAGAAGTAAATTGTGTACAAGAACAAAAAAAAAGGAGGTTTTCTCATTTGGTGTAAGTGGACCGACTCAGTTCACTGCTGATCTCAGCGCAAGAAAACTGGAGCAAAACAGGATGAAACAAAAATAACCAACTCTGTGTTTTTATAATGAGCATTCAAAGTGTGACGGTGTTCCAACAGCAATCACAAAAAACTATTTTCATTACAGAAGTGCACAATATGTTGGATATATACAGTAAACATGGGTTTACTTTGAACATTTGACAGCCTAAGGGTTATACCAAGCCTTTAGGTCTTTTACCCAATTTTTACCAAAACAGAGTGTTAAGCACAAATCAAATTATTTCATAGTATATCAATGTATTTCCAGTAACTTGTCTTTTACTATATACAATACAGTTTGTATTATTAGTGTCTCACAGCAGTGCCCTTGGCTCCATCCTCCCCTGGAGGGCCCTTGGCTCCTGGAGGACCAGCTGCTCCTGGAGGGCCTGTATCTCCCTTTTCCCCTTGGTCTCCTTTATCTCCCTAGGGGTGGAATGAGCAAATGTGAGATATGGGAGGGGAAAAAAACTTTTAAAAAATGAGATGGGCTTTTAAAATATGGATCTTCAAATAAATAAGATCCCAGCAAAAAGTAATTTAACTCACTATTCTTCCTGGAATCCCAACTGGTCCAGGGTCACCTGCCTCACCATCCTCTCCCTAAGAGGAACAGGATGTTAATGCAAAATGTACAGAAAATATAATTTGGGTACGATATAATCTAAACAGAATCCTTATCAGGATTGTACCTTCTCCCCAACAGCACCTGGCTGTCCTATCATTCCTGGTCTACCGTTCTGTCCCTGTATAACACCAAAAATGGTCATTATTTGTTCAGAATCTATGAGGTATTTTATTTATTTAATAATAATAATAATAAACAAATAAATAAATGTACTTACCTGACCCCCAATTGGACCTTGAGCACCAACAGGGCCTTGCTGTCCTGGTGGACCCTAAAACCAAATGATTAGGGAGACTTAGCATTTTTCCCCCTAATAATAATGAAAATAAAAAAGCTATAAAAGACATGCATATACACTGAAAATGAGCTCACCATTAGACCAATGTGTCCACTTTCACCCTTTTCTCCTGGCAGGCCAGGCATTCCCTTAAAGAACACAGGGATAATCAGTCTATTTCTATGATGTCATTGTTTAAATGTCTTCATACGTCCACACAGAAACACGACTCACCTGTAACCCTCTTGGTCCTTTGGCGCCCTTAAAGCCACGTGATCCTTCATCACCTTTTGGACCATACATGCCCTGCTGGCCTCGAAGACCGGGCAATCCATCAACACCCTGTTACGCAAAGAGGATCATTTTTTATTCAGTTCATTCAATCTTTATTTGTACAACTTGGTCTCATTGAGTCACGAGGACTCATTTTCAAAAGAGACCTGCTTTAGACAAAACCACATATAAGTTACACACAACAATAAACAACAAGAAAATGCAAATACATTTTTTTTTTAAGTAGTGTTATAAAACACAATAAAATTAAGGTGCCTTAAAAAACAAGGTAAAATACGAAAATACTAAAAACAGGAATATATTTGCTTTGATTTTTCTATTGCACTTATCAATTGTTTAAAATCCCATTAAGATGTCAACGTGGACTGCTTCAAGTCTTTTTGCAAGGTGTTCCAGGAAACAGGAGCAGAGTAAGAAAATGCCTTTTTGCCGAATTCAGTTTGCACTGAGGGGATGCTGCAGGTATTGATGGCCTGAGAGCGCACGCTGTAACTGCACTGACAACGTGGCATGTGAGAGGATCTACAAGAAGGCAGCAGACCAAGAACTGATTTAAAGATGAAAATGTACCAATGTGAGAGCCTGCATGAAGTTAATGATGATCAACTGACCAATGAGTACAGAGTGCAGTGATGGGTATGGTAGTTACAACCAGTTATGAATCTTAGCACCTCATGGTAGAGGGCATCCAACATCTGCAAGGTGCAGGCAGTGGCATTCATATAAATAATGTCACCATTGCCAATGGCCTGTAGGAAAGTAGCAGCTACAAGGCGTTTCCTGGCATTCAGTTAAGCAAGATCTACTGTATTTCTGAAAAAGAAACCCAGTTTTAATTTCAGTTTCTTTATCAAGTTTTCAACATGTGGCTTAAAAGAGAGATGTGCATCAATCAAAATTCCCAAGTTTTTATATGAATCAACAAACTCAATAGGAAAACCATGTGTGGATAAGAAAGGAGGGAGGACTGTTGGTAACAATTTCCTGTTTGAAAACAACATCACTTGGGTTTTATCAGCAATTAGCACCTGTTTAAGATGGAACAAGTCTGACTGAATGACGTCAAATGCAGACAAAAGCTGGAAAACCTTAGCCACTGTTTTAGCTCAACAATAAACAACTGTATCATCAGCGTAGAGATGCAAGGAGGCATCACAACTGTTCTAACCTACATTATTTACAGTATATAAATTGTAAAGAGAGTGGGTCCCAAGACTGAGCCTTGTGGTACACCATTATTGACAGTTAAATAGCTAGAAGAAGTACCATTGTGTTGAACACATTGCTTTCGGCATGAGAGATAATTAGAAAACCATCCGATAGTGTGATCTGTGAAACCAATATCTGAGAGCTTATATCTTAGTAAATGTTGTCTCCCCAGAATGTAGCTTCTGCTGAAACTGATTGTTTGGACAGAACAATGTTTAGTGACAGAATGATCTGATATGATGGATCAGAGCTCAAATTTATTGAACTGTGTAAATTCTTTGTGCATTCACTTAGACTTTATTACATCTGGTAGTGTGAAATAAATGTTAAGTTTCTGACCAAAAATTCTTTCATGAGATTTATATCAGTTACCATTCAAACCATTCAAATATGCCATGGAAACAAAACTGGAAGCTGGAAACATTTTTTCTAACTAAAAAGGAAAAGAACACTTCAGATAATATTTTTGAGATCTGCATAGTTCATACCTTGCTGTGTTGTGTTCTCATGTGTATTCTTAATGCTTAGTAGCTAGCTTACTGCTAATTGTTGGAGACTTAAAAAAAATATATATTGTTTATACAGCAATGAGTTGGGAACGTGTGTGGACAGGACTTTCTTTTCAGTGGTACAGCCCCATATTCTTGTCAAAAATACAATAAGCCAGCTCCAAAAAAACAGACATTTTCAGTAAATTAAACTACAATGGAGACGCTTCATAAATATTTTTTAAGTTGTTGGATCAAACTGCAAAAAGAGGCTACAATACACATCCTCTTACATCCTAAAGTTGTTTCACTGTCCATCTTAACCGCAAACTACTTTTTTTTTTTTACCACATTTCAAACCTCTTTTAAAACTCTCCTTTTAGACAGACCTGTCCCACATAACTGCTGATTCTTTGTCAATGATCAAATCTGCATCAGACCAGAGTTCTAGTTAGTTTTACTTTTCAAACCACTGTAAAAACAGAATATAAATAAATGCAAAGACTCACTGGAAGTCCTGGCTGACCAACTGGTCCCTGAGTGCCAGTAGGGCCTGAGGGGCCCTGCAGGAAGAAAGTGAACGTGACAAAATTCAGATATGATCAGAGCTGCTAACATTATGGAGCACCATCCATGTTGGTGTACTTCGTCATCTCCATACTCACTGCTTCTCCTTTGTCTCCCTTGCTGCCTTTCTGCCCAGGTCCTCCTTGTTCTCCCTGTGGACACAAACACACAACTTACCACTGTGGAACAATACACACTCTGGGTCAGTCTTTCTGCTTTTTAGGTACACAAAGTCTACCTTGTCCCCATCATCTCCTGGAGGGCCTACAGGGCCCATAGCTCCTGGCATCCCTACTGGTCCCTGATCCCCATCCTGACCTGCCAGGCCAATAGGTCCCTTCTCACCCTGGGATAAATAGTCCACAAATTTTAAAGTTTTTTTTTTTTGCAAACTATAAAGACAAATATAAATGTGTATTAAGCAGTTCAAAGATTCATAAATGCATTTAATTTGGTTTATATGGTTAAAAACACAAAAGTATGATAATAAACAAGTTAGGTATAATTACAGGCTCCCCCTTCTCTCCCATTGGTCCAGGTCCTCCAATGGCTCCAGCACGACCAGGCTGTCCAATGGCTCCAGCTGGTCCTGGAGGGCCCCTTTCTCCTGTTGGTCCCTACAGACAGCATGCTGGTCTTTTGAACATGTTTATGTATAAAAGTACAAGAAATGTACTGTACAGTAATCCCTCATTACTTTGCGTTTCGACTTTTGCAGACTCGTTCTTTCGCAGTTTTCCAACGATTGTCAGCTTTAATGTTACTCACGTGATTGGGAGGGTACGGGATAAAAAGTTAACAAAAAAATAATACTTTGGACAGGCGCCGCCATTTTGCAGTTTTCTTTCAATAAGCCTATACAGTAACGCAAGTCAAAAGAACTATACTACCCAGAAGCCAACAGTGCATCCAGCCACTGCTTTCTGCCAAAATGGAGGGATAATGGAGGGACAGCACAAAGTCAAAAGTAACGATCTATCTATGACGCTCACAAAACTGTCAGGAAAGTCGCAAATAATCCTGAAGCTCAATTATCCACACGCACATCAATCTGGACGGGGCGGTGGGCTTTGTCGCTGCAGAACCAGAACCAAGTCCTACTGGAACTGAGCTGCGGTCTGAAGAGGTGGTGAGTAAAATTTTGCAGTACTGTACAGTGCATATATGTGTGTTGTTAAAATTACACAGGTTTAATAGTTTAGAAAACTGCAAGAGTGTGGGAAAGGTTTATAGAGCATTAAAATATTTATAAATACTAAAATAAAGACAGTAGTCCCTCGTTTATTGAGGGGAAACCGTACCCTGAAGACCAGCATCAAGTGAAAAACCGTGAAGTAGGAATAGTAGTACAAGTAATTAGTAGTTTATTTTAGCATTTATATACTGTACATATATATATATATATATATATATATATATATATTCAGCATATAAAGGTGTTTTAAACCCTTCCCACACTCTTGCAATATTCTAAGCAATGTTTCTAAACTCCAAATGCTCTAAAGGAGCACAGAAGTTCAAGATTTCAGCTCTCTTCCTCCTCTGCTCTTTACCACCTGCAAACGCTCTTGGCCACGCCCACTTCTCTTTTCTGCACGCTGAACAGCTGATCAGCTGATCAGCTGCAGCAGGAAGTTTATCCTGCAGTATGGGCTGCACAAAGCTGCAGGAGGACATTTTTTCTTTAGCTCTGGGCTCCACAAATGTGCAGCAGGTGCTAAATTATTTAAAACCATTTATTTTAAATAAAATTCCCATGCCGATCGTGTGGCTCATCCATCAATCAGCCAATTGTCATGTCCAATTTTTTGAAAAATCGTGATAGACCGAGTCCACAATAAACAAACTGTGAAGTAACGAGGGACTACTGTATAGCGTTTCTACTCAGTTTTTCACCTGTCGCGGGGGTGTGTGGAACATAACCCCCGCGATAATCAAAACATTACTGTAGATGCAAGAATCTTGATGGTTTTTTAATAATAAGTTTGTTCATTGATCACTTCACATTAAGACTTTACATCAAACAACAAAAAAAGATTTTAAGAGCAAATTGACTATGAGCTGTAGAAAAAAGAGAACTAATACTCACTATGGCTCCTGGTGATCCACCAGGTCCTGAAGCTCCTTTCAGACCAGGCGGTCCCTGTAAACATCAAGCAAAGACTGAACTTTAAAGTGTGTTTTATTTAAAATATCAAGAAATCAGGCAAAGTATATGGTGAGAGATGTGTCACCATTATTCCAGGGGCTCCTCTGCTCCCTCTGAACCCTTTCAGACCTGGTGGACCATTCTTCCCAGATGTTCCAGGTAAACCAGGATCCCCCTAAAAGGCCATGAAGGACAAAACCAGAATAGGTAAATATATAAATACAATAGTTCTGTACGACCAAAGCATAAATAGTCACTCTGTGAGATAATGTAAATTGTTGTTTGTGACCTTTCCACCCTCCTTTCCGGCCGCTCCAGGTAAACCATGTTCTCCAGGCACACCTGGTGCTCCTGGGTGACCTCGATCTCCTGTTGGACCAGATTCTCCTGATTTTCCCTGAACACACAAGTTAGAAATCCACTGATTGGTTCGTTCCTTGAGAAAACAACACATTAAAGCACTACGTTCACATGGATGGGCTTACCTGTGGTCCCACCACACCTGGAGGTCCTGGAGGTCCCGTCTTTCCTTGGAAGCCCTGAAAATAGAAGGTTAGTATAAAACCTTCTGGCATGTTTGCAGCTGTTTTTAGTTCCTTCATACTTTCAAACTAGGTTTCATCATGGAATAGAAGTCTATCCTTAATAAAGAAAAAATGTATTTGTGTGAATGTTTATGAAGCATTCACACTATTGTGATCCATTTTTCTTCCATACGTTTTTCAGCATCTTTCTCATTCCACAATTTTTGTGCTATTTCAACAAATCATAAATGAAAATGTTCAGCTCTTTCAGAACAATCCTGTATGACTTCTGGTTTTGGTGCAACTTGAGCTTTTTTAAATATTTAGCCTTGTCTGTCATTTTTTATTCTCATAGAAAATGAATTGAGCTCATCCTTCAAATCTTTAGATGTGTTTACAACCTTTTACTGCTCCGTTCACATTTTGTTCTGGTTCAGCTTCTTTTAGCTTCCTTGTGCAAATTTAAAACATTTTCAGCTAATTCCAGCTGTTTTTTTCCAGCTGTTTTGTGATCCTTTCAGATTCTTTCTGCTAACTACATTTTTGTGCTTCTAACTTTTTTCTGCTAATTTCAGCTTGTTATGCTGATTTCAGCTTATTTCTGCAAGTTTAATCTTTTTCTACTATTTCAGCTATACTATTTAGCTGTTTTATGCTAATTTAAGCTAATTCCACATTTTTTGCACTCATTTAAACTTTTTCCAGCCTAATTCAGCAGAAATATGCTCTCTCCACTTCCTTCTGGAAATTTAAGCTTCTTTTTGCTTCATGAACTACAAAGTACTTTTCATCTGTTTTTGCTTATTACAGTTTTCCCCCCCAGAAAATTTCCAGATTTTTGTGCTTAATTCTGCTTCTTTTAGCAAACATGTTCTTTCTGCTTTCTTCTGCTAATTTAAGCTTGTTCTAGCTTTTCAGCTATCCTTTTTCTTAGCAATTTTTTAGCTAATTTCATCTGTTTTCAGATAAATTCAAGTTTTTCATGGTACGTTTAGCTACTTTCAACCTAATTAACCCCTTTAAGCCAATTTCAGCTTGTTATGCTCCTTTCAGTTTTTTCTGCCAGTTTCAGCTTTGACTGCTGTTTCAGCTACTATTTACTGTTTTATGCTAATTTTAGCTTTTTCAGCTAATTCCACATTTTTTAGCTAATTTCAGCTCCTTCCACTTCCTTCTGGTAGTTTAAGCTTCTTTTTGCCTTTTCAGCTACTTTTCAGATGTTTTTGCTCATTTTGAAAACATTTTTTAGCTTATTTCCTAATTTTTGTGCAAATTCCTGCTTATTTAAACTTAGTTCAGCAAATACGTGTTATTTTTGCTTTCTTCTGCTATTTTAGGCTTGTTCTTCCATTTCATCTACAATTCAGCATGTTTTTAGATCATTCCAGTTGTTTTTCAGGAAGTTCTTCAGCATTCACACTGCATTTTCGCAGGAAGTGCAATTTGTCTAGTTAAATTAAAATTAAACTTCAGTGAGTTCCTGAGGTTAAACTTAGGTTAAAGTTAGACATGAATCAAATTAAGGTTAAGGTTTGGCTCAAGCTGTGCACACTGAATGAAAGTATTGCAGTGTTGAATTATTAGTAATATTATAATAATTATAATATTATAACACAATATTACGATAAATCATTATAATAATATAGTTATAATAACAATATTATAGTGAAGCAAGCTTGTTTGAATGAACGTTTGAATAGAAAATCATTCTTTAGAAAGAAACAAGAAATCACTTTTCTTATAAATGCTTAAAATCTCACTCACTGGCTCCCCTCTTTGACCCGGGTGGCCCGGAAGTCCATCCTTTCCAGCCGGACCCTAAACAACACGGCATAGTCTGAATATAATGGTTATAATAGAATAACATTCATTTTATTTAGTAGTGTTTGAAATTTCTTGTGTTGTTTGTCTCAAAACATTCCAAAGATTGCCTTCCAAATCATTTCTGTTGCAGATACTCTGGTCTGGTACAGCTAAAACCATTTCCACAGAGCTGAGTCTGTGGTTTACAGAAGATTAGCTGCACTCATCATTATTTCTGACATAGGGGAAGAAAATCTTGGCAGGATCTACAGTATGTGTAAAATGGTGTTTGGTGAACATTTGTATGGACAAATCAAAACGTGTGTTTACAAGAATGGCAAATGTTAAAAATGCAAGCCTTATTAGCAAAATTTAAACATTACTAAAACTTCAAAGTTCAATCCAGGTAGAAAATCCAACAAAGTTCAGTCAGGTCCTCTGGATGGTTTCTTTTTTTGTTGTTGAGACATTTCATCCTTCATCCAAAGGACTTCATCAGTCCAAGGAGCCACAACAAACTGAGTCCCACAAGCAGCACACTCACATAGTGGACCAACCAGTTTGCTGTTGAGAAGAGTTTCTGGGGGCCTACCCTCTCCCCCGTCGACTCCTCTGAGGCAGCCATAGCCTCACCAGCAAACTGGTTGGTCCACTATGTGAGTGTGCTGCTTGTGGGACTCAGTTTGTTGTGGCTCCTCGGACTGATGAAGTCCTTTGGATTAAGGACGAAACATCTAAAAAAAAAAAAAGAAACTGTCCAGTTGACCTGATTGAATTTTGTTGGATTATTAAAACTTGTTTTTTAGTTTTGTGCAGTGAAATTAGGTTTCATAGTAGCACAACGTAGCAGAAAAAGTGTGATCAGAACTCACTGGTCTACATGCTTGAGGATTTTTAACTTTTTTATCTTTCAGAAAATCTACAAACTAAAAACTATTATAATAGAAAACTATTAGACACTCATTTGTAGATCTGTCTCATCGGGTCTGATGGATTCAGGCCCTCGTTGAAAACTCAATAATTCATTTTTCTGTAAATTAAATTAAGGTCTTAAAGTGAGTAGATGTCTTTTCATTGTGGTCTTTCTAGGAAAACGTGTTGTCTGAACAGGCGTAACACCAAAGTCAACTTTATCTGGATGCAGGCCAAAATTAAAAGTTACGTAAAACCAAAACTAATACAATAAATCAGGTGAATTTATGAAAATAAATGTTTTTACACTTGTTCCTTTAGGTCCTGGTTCTCCATTTCTTCCATGTGGCCCTTGAGGTCCCTAAAAATAAAAAAATTAATTAAAAACATAGAGATGATGAGTCTACTGCTACATCAGCTGATATTATGCATTGAAAGACTTGGGTTCACCCTCTCTCCAGGAGATCCTGGGGGGCCATCATGCCCTGAGGCACCCTATGAACACACGAGATGGATAGCAGCGTGAAACCACAGATAATGGAACTGATATGTTATCACAAGCTGAGATGGGACTCGGCCAACCTTTTCTCCTGGTTTCCCAGTTGGGCCTCTCGCACCCCTGGCACCTCGGGCACCCTGCCAGAAGAGAAGCAAGTGTGAGATCAAAACGCAAGACGCAACCTCGGATCGGTGCGGGAAAAAAAATCTGTAATTTATGTGACGTGAGGCGACGCCACATTCTTGAAGCGTGTTCACGTTTTATCTGTATGAAAATGTTCCACATATTTCCTAAACACTGTGTGTTCAGCCATGATATATATATCACTAAATATATAATCATATAAATGATTAATATAATATAATATAATATAATATAAATAATATATAATCCCAATGTACCCACTTACACATCAAAACCTTTAAGCAGCTGTATCTGAATGCTAATAAAATAATTACAAATTATTTAATAAATAAATGTGTGAAAAACTGTTAAATTGACAGAGCAGATCTTTTTAGATGGGATTCTACGTAAAAATTATAAAGAACTAAAGAAAAGTTTTGGAAAAAAAAAATAATGATAACAATATTAACAACAATTGTGCATTGAAATGCATGATGTCATCGCATGATGAGCTTGCCTCGGCAGAAGTAATCGAACAGCTGACATTTAGGCCTAAAAGCATTTGAGACCAATATGTTTCTACACAGACGTTTCACAAAAAACAAGCGTCATAACGTGAATAATTAAAAATTTAAATGGTCATAATAGGATGAAGAAATCTGGGTCATTCAAAAATTATGGAAAACAAAATACTAACATGATTAATAATGGTAATATTTTCAAATGCATAGATTTTTAAAAAGAATATAATTTCTCCAACTTTTTCGATGACTGCGGTGGACTTTGATCCCAGGTTGTCTGGTTGGCACTCACGCCTCCGATCCATTATTTTACTGACAAAGTGAGGAGGTTTCTTGTGTGTGAGGCCTGAGCACCTGTGTCTGTAACCATGGCGATGGTTACAGACACAGTTCAACTGCTTTAGAGTCTGAACCATCACTGCAGGCTGGAGGCTGAGGACACCCAAACTTAAAATCTCTGCTCAATTTATGCTGGATATCAATTAGTTGATATAGTACAACCTCAATTTGAAGAAATAGAATTTATTTCTGACCAGACTGACGAGTGAAAGACTAGTCTGAGTCAAACTAAGACCAAAATAGATTGTTGTCCTAACATCAGTCTAAATAATAAAAAAAAAACGTGTAGTGCTTCAAAAGAGTGCTATTCTATAAACGTAATTCTGAGGTTATTTGGGGGCGTGAATAGCAGCAGCTGTTAGCTGTAGCACGAACAAGAACATCACAATATTTCTGTCAGAATAATCCCGTAGCGCAAAACTGAAATCAGTGCAATTATTTACAAATTAGCATGTGAATGGAAATGCTGTGAAACTTTTGAGATTGAACACCAAAGTTCATCAGTGATCCAGGGGGGTTGCTGGTGCTAAGATGGTTGTGGCTATCCACTGCCATGGATGGATGCTGTTTGTGGGACTCAATTTGTTTGGTGGCTCCTCAGACTGAAGAAGTCCTTTGGATGAAGGACGAAATGTCTCAGCAAAAAAAAGACACCATCCAGATGACCTGACTTGTAGAATGAAATTTTTGAGACTTAAGTTTGTTGTTTTTTTAATGGCAGCCATCTTCTTTGGCCGTGGCCCCTCTCAGACTAGCTGATAGCTCATCACTCATGTCAGAATCAAACTGTATTTCTTCAAATTCAGGCCACAGAAAATGTTTTCTACAAAAAAGGTGAGATTGTTAAACACCCTTTCAGTTGAATCGCACCGCAAAAGCTCTGAGCACTCCCTTTAAATGCAGTTTATAGTCACTTTTTTAAAGTTAGAATGGCATACATCAGCTAGACTGAGCTGTTTACCAAAATTAACGCAGCATACTTTACTTAGGCAAACATTTGTTTATATTCAGCTGAAAGTGTCTGTTTTGTTCAGTTTTTAAAGAGTTATAAAGTGTTATAAAAAAAGAATTACAGGTTCTGAGAAGCTGCAGACTTTTCAATCTGTGTATTTTGGGTCTAGACTTTGATATTTTTAGAAGGCACTTACATTTGAACCCCTCTGGCCGGCACCTCCTGCCTGGCCTGCAGGACCCTGAGTAACATCACAAAAACAAGGTATTTCATCAAAATAGATTGATTTCTTGGTAGATGGTGAAAAAGCCAAGTGTAACTATTCTTTTTACCTTCTTCCCTTTCTCCCCAGCAGCTCCCAGTGCACCAAGGAAACCATCAGAGCCCTGCAGAGAAAGAAGACACATTCACTTTGTGTAAACTTTACCTACTCTATAGATCATTGTTTATTTTTGTTTACTTTGGGCCCTTGGCGTCCTGGATATCCTGGCAGTCCTGGAACGCCCAGTTTTCCCTAACAAAAACAAAAAAGAAGCCCAAAACATGAAAATATAGCTTAATAATATTATACACACATACCAGTATGTAAACAATGTACCTTCTCCCCTGAAATACCAGCAGAGCCAGTCTCCCCCTGAGGACCCAACTGGCCTTTGGGGCCTTCAGGTCCATCTTCACCAGGGATCCCTATAGGTCCATTGTCCCCAACGTCCCCCTTTGCTCCCATATCCCCCTTGGCCCCTGGAAAACCATCTTCACCCTGCACACAGAAACAAAGAAAATGAGACAACGGAACAGGATGAATACCAAATATAAAAACGTAAAGTCTGAAACAGTCGTCTTTAATTGACAAATCTTCTGAATGTTCTGTTTGTGGACAAGTTGTGTCACTTTTCAGCTTTTTACCTTTTCACCTTTGCTCCCCTTTAATCCCCTTATTCCATCTGCTCCCTGTCAAACAAAAAATAAATACACAATATATTATTAACGAAGAAAGGAAAAATAAATCTACTGACAAAAATATATAAACGCACTATTTTTGTTTTTGCTCCTATTTTTCCTGAGCTGAACTCAAAAGATCGAAGACTTGGTACACATCAGGCCTTTTTGTCTCAAATACAGTTCACAGACTTGTGTAAATCAGTGTTAGTGAGCGCTTCGCTTCTGCCAAGTTAATATCTATCCATCTCACAGTTGTGACGCTGATTAGACAGCATGATTATTGCGCAGGTGAGCCTTAGGCTGACCACAATAAAAGGCCACTCTAAAATGAGTATTTTTATTTCACAGCACATTTTCTGTTTTAATATCTTTAAATCGGTTGTTCTATTTTGCATGTCAACCTTGACTCCTCGCTGTCCAGGGTACCCCACAGGTCCTTGGACTCCCAGAGGGCCCTAAGATTCAACAGAAAGCACACGCTGAATTAAGTCCTTATGCAGTGTAACTATCAAAACCACGCAGTTCTCACTCACCGGCAGTCCTTTTTCACCTGGAGTGCCTTCTCTTCCAGGGTGACCCTGTTAACAAAAGGACTTGTTAATGTCTGCAGTCAGAGCTGTAACTGGAGTTGATTTGAGTCTCAGGAATGCATGATGTCAGTAAGACTCCGTAGAAATATGAAAGCACATGTACTTACAGAGGGCCCGTCATTTCCAGGTAAGCCCCGCATCCCTTTTTTCCCTTGAGGTCCCTGTGAGACAGAGATAAGCCTATCAGTCGTGACATTTTTAGTAAAAGAAGAAATCTGTCAGTGAAACTCACGTACCTTCTCTCCTGGCAGTCCTACTAACCCCTGAGGACCAGGAAAACCCTGCAGAAGTGATGCTACATTAGTATTTTAATAAAAATCATTTTAATTTGAGCAATGCGCTTTCAGCACACACCAAGATCCCAGGATTGCCTTGCTGTCCGGGAGCTCCGGTTTCTCCTGGTGGTCCCTGTTACGGAAGATATTTAATGTCAAGGTGATTGCAGCTGTAATGACATTTACTTTTGATATACTCACTATGTTTCCCTTGGAACCTTGAACCCCATCAATCCCTCGAATACCCTGTAAGAGCAAACAAAATGGTATGTGAAGACATTTGTTGGTGTATTCTCAAACACACTTACCGTATTTTCCGCCGTACACATCACTCCCCCCTATAAGTCGCGTCAGTTCATATTTGTCTAATAAAGTGGAAAAATGCATAAATACGACGCATCTATTATGGGTCACGTTTGTTACGCGTCACCGCTGACAACCTGGAAATGTGGTCGAGTGCTGTGCCAAAAATCGATGCGCTGCCAAATGACAGCTGTGGGAACATGCACGGGCGGACTTAAACAAAAATTTAACAAGATTAACACTTAACAACAATTATTTGTTTGCTCGAAATTATAGCAAAGGGGTGTCTCAGTCTAACATTTGCTTAATAAATGCACTTTAATGTTTAAATTAGCTGCATTTTACCGGGGCGGTGCAGCTGGTTTGACTTGCTCCAAGCAACGAGCAGAATGAAGGTGGGGAGAGTTTGGCAGGCAGATTAAGTCATTAATAGTTGGTGAAGATTCTCTGTCATCCAGGACATGGTAAATTCAAAAAAGTTCAAGACAAAAACAATAAAGTGTAATAAATAAA